ATGGTTTTCAAGCAGTTTACTCTAGGATAGGGTATATAAATCAGAGCGTCTGGGTCTAGAATAGGGTATCATTTTTCCTACAACTGAGTAGTTGGTTGAAGATTTTATCTAGACTAAGGAAACCAGGAATTGCCACTCAAAAATATAAAAAAAATCAAATCGGCGAGTTTAAATTTACGCAAATCAGCCTCAGTAGTGTCGATAGATGGGGGGATTTGGGGATTTTACTCTAGTATAGGGTAGCGAAATTCAGCTGAACTAGCTCTGGTGTAGGCTAAGGGTTCCAGGGTCCCAGCGGCACATCCCCACCCAGAAATTCCCAAAGTAGCCCCCCGGGGTAATCAGCCTCACTTCACTGTTATGCTCTTAAAGTTTCCATTACTTAACTTAAACACTCAAGTAAAAGGCCAACGCGAACTCAAACATCATTAGTGTAGACAAAACCGGTACTGGGAGCGGCAAAAATCAGTTTTAGGATCAATAAAAACCGGTTTTGAGATCAACAAAAAACTGATCTTGAGGTCTGCAAAAACCAGTTTGGGGTTGGACAGAAAGCCGTTTTGAGGTAGGGAAAAACCAGTTTTGAGATCGAGAAAAACCAGTTTTGGGATCGGTAAAAACCGGTTTTGAGGTTGGCAGGAAGTCATTTTGAAATCAGAAAAAACCGGTTTTAGGATTGGCATAAACCAGTTTTCAAAAACTGGTTTTGGGCTGGAGAAAAACCGGTTTAGAGATCAACAAAAACTGGTTTGGGGTTAGACATAAAATGGGTTTTGATATCCACAAAACCCTTTTAGGGTTAGGACAAAGCCCGTTTTTGGGATTGGAAAATGTAGTGTCAGCAAGTAGTTCCTCTTCATCACATTTAATAGTTTGATTTTTATATTTTTCCATAAAAGGGGGACACCTGAACTTTTTATTATAACATACCAAGTTACAGCTTTCCTTTTATCTAACTTCTTTACAGCAGTCAACACATCTACCTATGATTTAGATTGGTCTGCATAGTTCCCTATTGCACACCAACAAAACAGCCAGCCAAGAAGGCTTGTTTTGTTTAGATACTTTGATATTGATTAACTTGAGGTTAATAAGCCACCATTTTGATAACAATTTTTTGAAGAAGAGAGTCTAATGAAAATGTCAGCTTCCCAAACTACCATAGTGGTTAATTTACCTTTATCACCTTCAAGTTGAGCAATAGCTAAGTGTTTCACTTGCTTGCCACTGCAGTCCAACAGTTTCCGTTGAAACTATAAGTAATACCTTTATGTTACAGTATCTTAAATGACAAGTGCTTCAGCGTAAACATTCACAGTTCAAGGAAATGTCACCTGCTAACAGTACATTTTCATGAAGGAACCAATTCTGCCAAGAGAACTGAGATGTAGTTCTTTAGATTGCTCTCTATGTCATTTTCATTATCTTTTCTATCATCTTTCCGATGCCATCATGGATCTCATGGACTTTGGTCTCACACATAAATGCAGGATTTGTGACAACTTTGTTCTGTTCATCCACATGTATTTCGTTTCAACCGTCAAAGAAAACAAATGTCCACAACGTTAATATCCACTACAGTATCACACTTTTTAATAAACATATATCCCTAATCAAATTTTCCTGAAAATTTTCCACTAAATAAATATAGAAATCAAAAGAGAGGGAAAGAGAGGTACAAAGAGATTGGACTGGATACAAGAGGAATTCTAATGAAAAACACCACCTCTATCATAGCATTTTCATCACTAGCCACAAAATTTTCATAGGAAAATGTCCTGCAAAAGTAAACAGCTCCATTTTGATTGTTTCATAAAGATCAGAAGAAAATGGGCTGTTAGATATTTCAAAGGATATGTGGACCTCTTTGTTGACATGCTTAGCTCCCATTTGTTCCACAGCACCTGCAGTGCCAGCATAGGGCCAGCGGCCTCCATCATCCTTGTCATGGCCTACTGTTATCTCGACTCCTGGGATGAGCTGAAATTGATTGTTACAAATTAAATTTAAATGCAATTAATAAGAATATCTATGTACGCATTTCCATATCCTACAATTTTTGTATAAATTATTGTAATCAAGGGAATACATGTACATTCCTACTGACCTTGGCTGCCAGCACTGGAGCAATGCAACAAAGACTGTGTAAGACAAAACAAAAATTAATATATATGTTATGGTTTAAATTTATTTTCATTTTAATTTTTTTTGAACCAGTTTAAATTTTTCAAACTGGTTCATATTTTTCAAACTTGGTTGAAATTTTCAAACCAGTTTAATTTTCAGTTTAATTTTCAAACAAGCACGTAACTGGAATGACGAACTTAGATGTTAGGCTAGCAACCATCTCAATTGTGCTGGGTACTTTTGGCACTTTTTCAAATTTTCCAGGACCTCTGGAGAATAAAAAGGCACCAGCAAACATTTCATCCTCATTTATCCTATCTATGCCTAAGTGGCACACAGTCATCAGCAATTTTTATTTACGAAAAGCTGGTCAAACTCACTAGTTCTGGTATCATATATTGTTTTCTTTGATGCAATAATATTGTTTTAGCCTGATGCATAACCCCCTACCAAGAGGACCAGGACGCTATGCTTTGTCCACTTTTTACCCAGTATCAGCCTTTCTAGCATGTGTGACCTTTCTGGAAGCTATGCTCCCACCAACTTAGCTCTTTGAGCCACAGAGACTCGCAAGCTTCCCCATCACATTAAGGTGAACATATCAAAATGGCAATAACATCGAGCTTTTTGTTTGTGAAAAAAAAAGTGAAAAATTCCATCCACTTGGAGTACCAATGCACCCTGTTGCTCTATAGAGAACAGTGCTGTATGATATGTGAAACAAAATTAATTATGGCACATGTATTTCAGAAGTGTTCTCACCCAATAGGTTTCTTGGCAGCATGAAAATCCTTGATTGATTTTGCAACATCTTCATTAACTTTACAGTCTGCACCCTCCACGGCAAATGAACTCCTGCATACATATGGAAATAAAAAAAAATGTGAAAATCCAGAAACTACAGTCAGGTGACATCCAATGACTAAATAGTCTCCTTCGCAGCCGTTTTTTGGGATTTCATGCAATGCTCCCCGCAAAGAAACTTTGTGGGGAACATTACGTGGCATCCCAAAAAACGGTTGCAAAAGAGACTGATGACTAAACAGTGTTGTTTTATTTATAACACCAAAAATGTTACAAATATATGGTATAAGGTTCTTCCACATGAAAAGGGCCCTTTATCTATAGATAAATACTGCATTGAATAATTTTTTTGCCACAAGAAGATCATCAGGTTTATACATTTTGATCAGTGAAATGTTGCAAATTGAAAAAAAAATATAATTTTCCACTAAGGCTGACAGGTAACAAATCAAGACAGTACAGCTGTAGCCATATTACACTCACAGATTCTTTGCAACTCCAAATCCACCTGGAAAAACAATAGCATCATGAGAAGCTGCATCAAGGTTGGCAAGAGAAGAGATCTTTCCCCGAGCTATTCTGGCTGACTCAGCTAAAACATTCCTGACAATTAATTAAAAACATGTTGAGTCAGTTTAAAAAAGCTTATAAAGTGTAAGTTTTTGTACAGTATAATAGATCTATCAACTTAGCTCAAAGCTACTTTCCAGGCATACCATTCAAACTGAGGAAACAAATATTTTAAATAGTGAGACCCTGTTAGGGGTAAATTCCGACAAGCGACATGGCCTTGAAAAGGCGACATGAGAGCTAGGAATTGGCGACAAATGACAGACTACTCCAGCGAAATAGAGAAAGCGACACCAATGGCAAGATAGACCGACAACGAATTTCAGAACTGAGAATGCATCGATTGTTTTAAACGTTTGAGTCGAAGTGAAGACGCATTTCCAGAGTTTTAAATGTGTTTTCCTCTCTCATGCGCGATGTCAATGGGTCGTGAAACCCAGGGTTTCTTATATATGCTAAAATATCCACATCCAATAAATCGAGTCCGTCATTGCTGAGTATTTTTTCTCTCTCTCAGCTGAGTGAGCAGTGCCCTAAAACGCCTCAAAACACCCTTAAGGAAAAAGAAAAGAGATCTTTGACCGTCTGCTTCATATTTTTATTAGTGGGTCACCAGTGAACGAATACGAAGCTGTATCATCAACAAATGGCATTATGGAAGGAAAAGAGAGACAGGGGAAAGTTGCCAAGGTCTTCTCGTCTTCAGCAGAAGATAAGGGTTACGCCAAATTCAAAGGAAGAATATAGATAGGAGAGATTA